CCCCCCTTGTTTTTTACTTCGTTTTATCGTTTCTGTATTTTTTTTTCTTTTCCTGTAAGGTTTGACCACCCGGTCCCGTAGGTATGTTCCAGCTGTTTGTGTGTGTAAGCTGTCCACTCTGTTGTTGTGTTGTTTTCCCATTCTTCTTCCGTGCTATTTTGAGATCTGCCATTGAAAAATTGGGTGGTTGTGTTTGATCAGCTTTACTAAATATTAGTCAATTTTGTGATTCGAGTGAGGTTGATAAGTTTATATCTGATATCTGATAGTTTTTATATTTCTATATTGTTCGATTGTTCTGTTTATTTTTGTGGTTGCCCTGCTCTTGATCGCCTCCTGTAAGATTGGCTGTAATTGTCTGCTTGGGGTTGTCTGTTGGTCACCAACAGGCCCAGCAGGGACAATTGTGTAAAAGTTATCGTGCTGGAGCGAAGGGGAGGGGTTTAAATCCTTTTAGATTTCCCATTCTCATTCTTATTTACTTTACTTTATTCCTTTTCATAGATTGGGGCTGCCTTTGAACGATTGGGAGCGGAGGGACAAGCCAGAAAAAGTGATGATGTCATAGGGGACGGGGTATCGCCAAACCTCAACTTCGACCCCGTCTCTGGATGTATGTGTGCTCGAAGAGCAGCCATTGGGATAGATCATCACATTTCATTCATGTAGTAAGCTATCAACGAAAGAGTTTTCCAGATTCCTTACTCCATCCGTCACCGCACCATATTACAGCGTAGAAAGGGGAATTAAAATGTTTACGCAAAACCAGCATTGCCCAGATTATGTTCCTAACGTACCATCTCATTAGCCAACATCCAAAACCAAAAGGAAATAAAGTAAGATAGAAGGAAGGTCACCAAAAAAAAAAATAAATAAATAAAAATAAAAATAAATAAATAAAAAAAAAGTTAACATACCTTAATATACTCCCCCCCCTTCTCCGACCACTCATGCCTACTAACAGCCGCACTCTTAAACTCACTCCCGCCCGCCCACTCCGCCGCTCCCTTCCACGCATCCAACACCGCATCCCCCGCCCTCCGCACCTTCAAAACCCCCACAATCTCACCAGGCAACATACCCCGAAACTCCCTCTCAAACCTCTCCTCAAACCCACGAAACAGCGAATTCCCCCCCGCAACAAACACATCCCTCAGCAACCTCTCCCGCTCCTCCCTCCCCGAAAACCGCTGGTTAACAATATCCGCCGCAATCTCCACCAGCCCCGCCTGATCCAGCCCCGCAATCGCCGAAGGCTGGAACACAACCTCCGGCACCCGGATGCGCTCCACGTTCAGGTGCAGCTGGTGCGCCTCGCGCGTGCTCTCCGGGTCAAACGGCCACGGGCCCCGCAGGAAGACATGCACGAGACTCTTGGTCCAGTCTGACTGGGCGTCCAGCGTGTGGTTCTCCGTGAAGAGCGGGTCGTGTTCGAGGAGCTGCTGCTCGATGGCGCGCAGTTGGGCGGGGAGGTCGATTTCGTCGTTGTCGTCGTCGTCGGAGGCGGCGCCGGCTGCGTCGGGGCCTGTGGCGACGGTGCGGTAGACGCGCCAGTCGTCGTCGTTGGCACCGAAGGTGTCGTCGTCCGGGCCGCGGCGGCGTTTTTTGGAAGGGGTGTCGGAGGCTAGGTTTGCGAGGGTTTTCATGCGCATTTGGCTGGCGAGGGATTTGCGGTTGCCTAGGTCGGCTTTTAGGCGTTCTTTTTCTTTGAGTTTTTGGAGGAGGGTCTTGTGTGTTTGTCAGTCAGTTTATGTGTATCGTTGCAGAGGTGAAGTGGGTTTTAAGAAATGGAAATTTACCTCGCGAGCCTGTCTTCGCTCCTCGATCCACTCTTCGAAGTTGTTTTCGCGCTTTTCATTGTCTAGACGTTCCTCTTCAGCTTGCCGGGCTTTTTCCATCTCCTTCTCCGCTTTGGCACGCTGTCTCGCCTCGACGTTGGACTTCATAAGCCGCTGATGGCGCTTTTCTTTCAGACCGGCCTCATCAAGCTCTTCGTCAGGGACATCGAGAAGTGGGAATGAAGCTTCCTCCGGCTCTTCAGTCTCTTTATTGCCCAGGTCTTTGTTTCGGGATTTCTTGATAGATTTTTCTAGGTCCCGTATCGTGCGTTCTAGATGAGCCTCGTCTCTCATATCTTCTGCATCTAGAATCCGCTTGATTTCTTTCTTCGATTCTGACGCAAGTCCCTGCTGTAGATCCTTGTAGTACTCGAGTTCTTGCTCCTTCTTCATCAGTTTCTCCAACCGCATTCTGGCAGCTTGCTCCTGTAGTCGCCTGCCGCTTTCCCTCTTCCTCTCTGCGATCCTTGCAAGCTCTTCCTCGGTCTTCTCCACGACTACGTGTTCAGTGAATGGGTATTGAATGACGCGATCCCGATCCTCCAGTCCCGTCCAGTCAAGATACCCAGAGAGCTCTCGATCGTAGTCCGTCGAAACGTAGCAGTGTTCATGTATGAGTTGCGTCATTTGATGTTCCGTCATGCGGTCCGGGAATGTAGGGTATTTCAACTTTAGCAGCTTCATCATGTATTCAGACGCCTGGTAACCACCCCAGTTCAACCGTGTTGAATTCGATAGGAGCGCTTTGGAATTCAGGACGGGGATAACGTGCGTGGAGGAGTGGGATGAAGAAACCACAAGACCGTCCGTTCCACGATTAAAGCGGTAGGAGAAAAGGGAGTCAATGCCGTAGGCGACTGAAGGGGCGGAATAGCATTCGAACAATATCTCGTTCATCACTATAAATTGTTAGACGGCATATCATAGCAAGGTGGAAGTAGTGGTGGGTATACTTTTCCTCGAATATCCCAGGTTAGCTATAGGCTCCGTCAGAACAATGGGCCGATCAACTCTGCCATTCGCTCCGTCAACGCCCAACTTCAGGAAGATGTAATCTAGCACGCCTTCCATAACGTCCCAGTTTCCGATAATGCTGGTACCGGGGTCGAAGGCATTCCGCACCTGTCCGCGCGTGGTCGCATCGACGTAGGCATCGTAGCCCACGAAGTGACACGTTCGGTTGTATTTGCGATCGCGGTATTTGGCCATGACGGGAGGGATAATGAATCGGGGAGATTTGTCGAAGGACCAGCCTGCTTTGAGGAGATGGGAGCCTAAACAGAGAAACAGATCAGCAAAGGATAGTTAAACTGGAACGAAAAGGGTGACTGGAAACGGGAGCGATACCATTGTCGATCACGATGGCGCTGGAGCTCGCCGTGCCTCTACTCTGTTCGTAACCATCTGGTTGCGGAGGGGTATAGCCCTTGAATGGCGGGTCTTGAATGGGATACACCTTCGGCGGGGGCTTTGGGTCATTTTTCTGAGCAATATTTGCCGCCACTCGAGGAGGGTCAATGACGCGGGTGGAAGTGATGGTCATTGCGACCGCAAAGGGGAGGCGGAGGAGATTTGCGGATAGAGGAAACTCTCATGCGGAGGTGTAAACTAGCATTGAGAAGAACGCTGTAAAGACATTGCCAGACAAGGATTTGGTTAGATTTGACTGGTATTTCCTAAAGCCCTAGCATGTGGCAATACGATGGATCTGTTTCAGGATGTTCGATGGTGGGGGAGAGAACATTAGAAAGTTGGGATGAATGAAGTTGAAGTTAGCGAGGCGGCATTCTTTCTTTGCCTTCCAAGGTTTGCGCCGCCCGCTGCACAGGAAGCTTAGCTAAGTACATACATTATTCCATCTGCAAATATAACAATTCATGGATTTGATAAATCATAACTACTTATTTCATTCCAAAGTTGACTCTCATATTCTTACTACTTCCATCCATGGCCATACTCACAGATATGGTGATTCTCAATTCTCAATCATACCTGGCTCAGCCGGCTGAGCCAAGTTACGAGGAGCTTGCTGTGATGAAAGTTTGATCCTGATGAAATTTAATCATGCATAAAATCATAAATCATTGTTGCATTTCTATATATAGTACATATGTGTTATCCATTAGGTATTGAATGATAAAACAAAGCAGATAGAAGAAAGAGGAATATCTCATGTGTTTATTCATGTGTTAACTCTTTATTTAGTGGTGATGTACGTAATCTACTAGAGGTTGACTCCTTCAACTCCTCCGTGGCTAACATGCATGAACAATTTAGAATTAGCAAAATCAATGCAAAACTATCTCAAGGACCCAAAGTGCATCCTGTAGAGTATAGAGGGGTTATACATACCTTCTAGATGGAAAAGCACATTCGACTGGTAATTCTTAAACATCTGCGCCACGAGCTCGACATTCATGTTTTGCACGTTGACTTCCTAGACGCACGCAGATAGATATTAGCAACCGCTTCTTTTCTATCCAATGTAGAGCAGGAGTCATATACGTACCTGCAGATTTCCATTCAACACCATGATCGCCTCGTTGAGTTTCTCCTGCAAAGGACATCCAGGAAGGGTGTTGGATCAGTACCCAGTAAGCTCATACATTCCGGCCTTGATAGGCGGTGGTGTCATGGAATGTAGGGAGAGGGAGCCATACGACATTGGTGATGATGCGCGAGAGAAGTAGACTCTGCTGTTGCTCGTGGGGACTCTCCTGGTCACAATTAGCGGGTGCAACAATCTACGTTGCGGAATATGCAGAGATATAAGTATGTATGGTTGACAGGATGTGATTCACCATGTTTTGAGCGTGTTCTGTTGTTGGTTTTGAGAATGGGGGTTGAGAGGTCCAATATTTAGTAGTAGCTATATAATCGCAACAAAGAAGTTGGCTGTCTATTTCCCCATTTCATATGTTCTCCGCTCACTGTTGCATTGAACTCTGTGAATTGCATTGGGACTTCGTTCTTCTCATGTTCAACATGGTGTAATCATCATCGTTTGGCTGAGTTGGAGTTGTTTATCGGATCGCATGTTTGCAACTTTGACAAACTCCTGCGATATCAAAGAACCTGACGGGAGCTTCAACTTTCAGCTTCATTTCTTCCCTCAGCCATTCCCATGTCACCGTATTGCCATATTAACACATCCAGTCAATCTCTCTCTGAACCTCTCTAATCTCCAATCCACACTCAATAATTTGCAATCATGGCCCCCAACCCCTCCACCACAGACGACTCGCACCAAAAGCTACTAGACCTGCTCGACATGGCCCGCATCCCACGTCCCTTCCGCAACCCACACTGGAAACCCTCCGCTCGCCGCAACAAGAACGTGAAACAGATCATCTCCGAAACCTCACGCAAAGAAGCCTCCGTGCTTGCCAGCCAGAACAACTCCGGCTCCTCCACCCCTTTCGTCTCCGTGCCACCAGCTGTAACCCCAGCTATCACAGAGAACGGCAACGGCCATTCCAACACCAACGGAACTCTAACCCCGATCCTCCCCGCCTCTGCGAATCCGGCAGGCACACCGTCACGGCCGCAAAACATTGCTCAGGCGGCACAGAGCTTGTCAACACTGGTGTTGGAGAAGAATTTCCGTTCCCTGGTGCAAATGGGGAATGGAATGGGGCCTGCGGTGACGTATACAAATATTGAGTCTGCGCCGTCATTACACCCGTCGTCTCAGAAGAGGTATTGTGATATTACGGGGCTGCCGGCTCCATACACGGATCCGAAGACGCGCCTGCGGTATCATGATAAAGAGGTTTTTGGGGTGGTAAGGTCGTTGGGGCAGGGGGTCGCGGAAAGTTATCTGGAGGCGAGAGGAGCGCATGTTGTGCTGAAGTAAACGGATGGGGTTTATTCTACCTTGTGTGGGCGCAATGGGGGTTATGGTTTTACATTCTATATGGAGAACGGATTGAGAGTACAAAGGTGGTACGTTTCACTTTTGTATAGTTTTAATGAAGGGAATGATGTTTTAATTATTTGCATTAATACTGATACTGGGTTCCCTCTGTTATAAGAGTGAGTTAATGCTATGCACGACAGACAGCAATGTTCGGCCAACAAAGTCAAGCCCCATGCACCCCACTCGGCCCCTTTCGAGACCACGTTCAAAATGACGCTCCGGCTTAATCGTGACCATTTAGAAGAAATTTTACTTCTTAGGCTTGCTTTCCGCCTGACATAAATGCAGTTCGACGGGTACCGCCATCCCATTGGATGGAAGGGGATGGCAGTTACAGTGGCATTCAGCACACCGTGGCCGTGGCGGGATGTAAGGGGTAAGAGGGGATATGAATTGGTTTTGGATATCAAAGTTGAGATCTGGGAAGGTGTATTCGTGATGAAAGGAATAAAGGTTGGAATAAGATACATGGATAAGAACCTTGTTTTCTTTTTCGAGTAGATAAGGGTTTGGGGGGTTATTGTGTAAAGAGGTTAGGCAGGAGGGTAAAGAAGGGCTTCGATTTCTGCTTCTCGGTCGCGGAGTAGAGATGAAGTCTTTGGAAAGTCAACGCAATATAGTCAAATGCCATTTCATAAAATTTGCCAAGAGTTGATCACGAGAAAGGCATCATCAAGCCCCCTAGTGCTGCCATACTGGCCAGACAGAATCCACAGTAAGTAATTTGATGTTGAAGAGAAAAGCGAAAGGTTTGGTTTGGTGCGACTTGCTGCAAAGCGGCTATTAGGTTCGGGGCGGCCAGCCATTGGCTTAGCGCCCGTTAGCCGCGCGTGTAATCTGAAGAGTGATCAGAGGACAAACGAAAGCAAACCAATACAAATTATTATCGTATTATTTTCTATCATTTTAATATTCCCAGCTTAAATTTTCTTAATGGACTATTATCAGTGAGATACCATTCAATAGACATACCCATACTGGCTTTTGGAAAATGAATTGCTCTATTTGGTGAGTGAGCATCTTCACAATGACAGGCCCAAGCTGGCATAATTAAGTTTATATGAACACACATTATATCAACATCTTCCTCCTGATAGACATATTAATATTTTAATCTATCTCCTTGGCATGTTACTTGCAGCTTATTCTAACCATCCCATCCAGAACCTCCAGAGATACGTACCCCGCGCGACCTGAATCCCCAAAACCTATATACACCTTGACGACGGAAAGCCCACCGTAACCTTAAAGCACTTACGGCTGAGCGTTCCCCTGGAGTGTCTTGAGGGATTTGGAATACTCGTGCACGCGTGCATATAAGACGAGGGCTAAGAAAGTGTTGGGGGTGCGGAAAAGGGGATAGAGCAGCCAAGATGCCGTCGATGTGGTTATCAGATATGCAGAGTGAGTGCGCGTGCTGTTTCACGGCTCTATCCATATATACCTCCCGTTTTCTGCAGTGGGTTATGGACGTGGAAGGGCAGTTGTTTGCGGTACCCGTTGGTGAATTCGTCTTGCGCAGATTCCTGCTGCTATTTATTTTTAATTTTTAATTTTTAATTTTTTTTTTTTTTTTTTCAAATTTGCCAGACTGGCGATATACTTATACTCATCTGTCGCACCTTGCTAATATGTGTTTTCTTACAGAGGCTGGGGTGGTGTTTTGCTCTGGTGGTATGTAAATGGATCTCTAACTACATCCCCTTGTTATAAAACAGTCGACCGCCCGTTGGGCGTGCAATGAGAGACAGTTCAGTATTTGCGTGCTGGGTCGCTTATGGAGTTGGATATGGAGGCGGAAAGAAATGAAATTAAAAGAAGTATATGATATAAAAAATCAATTTCTGATGTACCGTCTGAAATATGCAGGGAGTTTATTTCTCTTCTTAGGAATTATCATGTTTTTTGACCGGTCACTGTATGTTTAAATCCCCCCACCCCTCCCCCTCCCTCCCGGCCTCACCCTTCGAAATTTGACATCTCATCAAGTGTCATGAATTAACATTTTTTCAGACTTGCAATGGGCAACGTACGTATCCTAGTCAACCTAACATATCCAACCAAACACGACCCACCAACTTCTAACACACAAAGCAATAGATCCTCTTCCTAATCGGTCTCCCCTTAATTCTGGGTCCATCCAAGACCCTCTCCTTCTTCGCGCGCCGTCAAAAGCTAACAGGAACCGTAACTTTCGCCTTGGGCATTTTGCTAATCCTCTTCCGCCGGCCGCTCCTGGGTTTCTGCGTCGAGCTGTATGGGCTCTTCGTGCTGTTCGGGGATTTTTTGATTACCCTTAGCGGGTTTGTGGGCGGATTGCCGGTGGTGGGACCTCCATTGAAGCAGTTATTGGTGTTTATTGGAACGGCAGGGGGGAGAAGTGGTGGAGGTGGCAGGGAGCTGCCGGTTTAATAATGTTTTCCTTTTCCCTTTTTAACCCTTTCGGGGTTGGGGTGTGCGAGTGGTATTTGATATGCCACTATTTTATTCGCTTGATTATGCGGTATATATTGCCTTGCGCGCTGGCAGGCGGGAAATGAAATGTATTATTGATTGATACTGTCGTATGTAAATATATATCATATAAACTGAAGCAAATGAAGGCTTCCGTTTTTTTATTTTTATTTTTTATTTTTTTTGAGTAGCTTTTACATTTCCACTGACAGTCATGAAGCGATATCTGTCTGGGTGTCGAGACTGCTGAGGCAGATGAAGGACATGGAATCTAGCTCGGCTGTATAAGGGAAATGTGGGGGGATGTTTGAATAATACTAAGATGAGACGAATAAAATATATCCAGCGCATTAACGGGAAAATATTAATGAATCTAGCCAGGGTCCGCATGTTTCTAGCCTAACTTTCTGGGTAGTTCTGGTGGATCGAGGAAATCTGCTGGAGTAATGGTAGCTGGCCCAGGAGTTAAACAATGTGTACCCAGCAATGTATATCTATGCAGTCTGTAGCTGGAGACACTATGTTGGTAATTCAATTCCAATATCCGTACTCTGAATCCCGCAACAGGGACCTTCTTCTCATGAGCATCACCCCCGGCCTGTCTCCCGATAGTCAGACTGGAGAGGAAGCGTCGGGGTTTGTGATAGGCTGCTGAAATCCTAATGATTGTAGTGCGACTTCCTCCGGGATATCACTTTTTATAGACGGTGTCTGATCACCTTTGCGGTCGGAGGGTAACGAGAGAGTCAGGTCTTCGTCTGGGATACTTGTGTTGGTTGTATGAGTAGCCGTCAGGTTCTTCCCTCGTAGACTATCAGCCGTCGAATTAGCTCCCCAGATTCCACAATCGGCGTGGTCGGCAGGGCTGAAAAAGTAACCTCCAGTTACTGCGGGTGTTTTACTTTTGCGGAACAATCGAAAAAGCGGTTTAAAAGTTGGGATGCAAGCAGCTATAATAATCGTGTCTGCCTCGAGTCTGAAAACATTCTAATTGTCAGACAGAAGTCATCAAATGAGAATTCACAAGAGATGAAAGAGCAGGGCAATAGTGGCGGAATGATTACTTAGACCAGAAGATCAAATCACTACTCCTATCTGCAAGACGACAACTGATATTAGTCTCTCCAATTGATATCAGGGTGAACAAAGGGATTATCGTACAAGTAGTGTCATGTCTCTTCTTCAATGTCGGCAGCTGCACGCATTTGATAATTGCCACTACACAAGCACTGTGTAATGACAATGGTTAGTGGGGGATGTGGTTAGAATTTGCAACTAGGAAGTTTGACAAACACACATGGTACCAAGCCCCAGCGCAACGCTAACTGCAATCTTCTTCAAGCGCGATACCCTGAGCTTCCAACACACAATAACTGCGTATACCGCAAAATACAAGTCCGCAAACGCAGATACCGCTATATCGGGGACGCATTGGTCAGTAACACACTCCTATTCGGAATAAGGTCGGAGTTTTGTGTGATGCGCGGGAACGATACAACAGACCTCCAGTAAAAAGCAAATAGTTGGTTGATGATACAGAATTCCTACACTTGGCATTCTTGATTCTCTTATCCCATGTCGCCTGGTGAGGATTGCAAATGGTCATGAGGACTGGAATGCCTATGCAGGAAGACACCGTCACAAATCCGCCCAGGAACCACACCACGTTGCGGTGAAAGGGCGTCGGAACTAGGATCCTGTTGAGCATAGCAGCCACAGAAAGCTTTGGAATTGCAATTGCAAGAATGGCAAATAAAGAGCCGATTTGGGCGTTGAGTCTTGCACCACGAATTTGGTCCGGTGTCAATGTGTCTTGATGCTTTCCAAATCCATAGCCCACGCTGACTGTAACGAGTACGACATAGGTAAGGCTCAAAATCTATATTCAAATTCAGGAGAAGGAGTTAGCACTCTCAGCCAACATACTCGAGGGATGAAGGTGTGAAGGTATCAAACAAGGGGAAGGGGTATTCAGCGATATACCATGGATAGCAAAATCAACCAATCGTCAAGTTCGACTTTCCGTATAATCGCGGCTCTGACGTAGAGCCTTGTAGCAACCAAGAAGGCTGCAAGAGGAGTGATAGTCCAAATGACGACAAGAATGAGCGGGCCTTTATCTTCTTGGAGATTCCAGCCTGAAGTCATTTTTAACGAGTAGTTGGAACCATCAGAGGTTGTGTGCGACGTATATTAGATAACTTTAGGATAGGGCTTTTCTCTGGCCCTTTATCCCATTCGAGGCAACAAAAAGGGGCGGGAGGAAAGTATTGAGATCCTTTCTTTCTTTTTTTGTTAAAAAAATATAATAAAAAAAGGTTTATGGTGGCTCAGATCCCCCGCGTCTGTGCAGGTTTTGCGGCCTCGAATCAGCTCATTAAGAAAGAGATTTCACTCTTCTGTTGCGAGCAGAGAAGACAGTTTTTTGAAGGAGCCAAGGAATCCATCCATAGATATGACCAAAACTGCCGACATGCTTCTCGTGCCGTGCCCAATAGCCAAATCGAGTCCACAGTCCTTCATACGGCCGTGAAGAATGAGAAAGGTTCAAAGTGGCACCCTCAGCGGCTCGAGCGAGATCCGGTATTCGCAGATCTCTGGATCAGATAGTTAAGCGTCCGCGATGTTTAGGGAGCGAACAAAGCATGTTTGAAACCTGGTAAGCGGCACACGGGCTGAGAGTTTCCCAGAGACCCAGGAGTTCGGAGAACCCTAATGTGAGCTGCGAGAATAAAGTTGTCGCTATCGAATTAGTTAGCCAATGTGATGAGGGTTACGGAGCAGTTAACTACCTTACGATTTTACCACCACCACCCAAAAAAGAAAAAAAGAAAAAAAGACAAATGGACGTTCCATTCCTCATTCTATGAAGATGAATTCTGTCTTCTCTTTTTTACTTACTGCAAAACTCAGAGCAAAAGCGCAGTAACATCATGACCCCAGGCCAAGTCCGACCACCACTTGATGAAGTGATGTAGAATCCAGATATTCCCAGCTACAGCTTTGATGTGGCTGATATGCTCTCCCCCCCCCCCCCCCCCCCAGGGGCCAAGCAGAGCGTGTTCCAAGCGTGAAAAGCAAGCAAACCTGTTGCGGTGATTTTGCTCGACATCCGATATACGAAATTATGGGGTTTAAAGGCGTTATATCGATTGCTTTGACACAGCCCGGGAAGTCTAAAAAAGGCATCTGGGCGACAGGTTAGAATCTTAGTCTGCCTGAGAGATTGGATTGGCCGGCGCATGGGCCGCCCCTCTACCACACTGAAGAACACGGTCACTGCATTGACCCCGTTGGTCTGACGCTGGTATTCTGTTTCAAGGTAATTAACGCCCGGAACAGCCAGTATGGGTCAATCACTATCATCCTGAAGGCATGAAGCCTCTATGTTCTGAGGCACCTATGACTTTAGAGTCCACTAGCTTCCCTACCAGTTGCTGCTTAAGGTCAATGGAGGACTGCTCGTTCCTTTGATGCTCTAAACTCTATTGGATCCGCCAGTTTTGCTGCCGTTGCTTCACATTTCACAGTCCACAGGCAGCTCTTTTGTCCTTGTGCTTTTCATCCAGCGTCCGATCCTGGAGAGGTTCCAGCTTCTCTGGCAGTCGACAGTGGTCTTCTGAAGGTGTCTGTTTATCTCAGTGGTCAAAGACAATTTGAAACGCCACATTGGAGCGCTCTAGCTTGGTTTTGCGATCTTCCCACTTCTTCTTGGACTTCATTGACTGTGTCTTGCCGCGTAGGAATCACCGGAAGAGAATTGAGGAACCGAGATTCCTCAGTGGAGAGAAAATATGGTCGATTCGGGTCGATCAATGTGCTCATTGAAC